CTTTTAAATCAATTCTTTGACAAAACAAATCAATATAATATCATGTTTTTTTAAGAAGAAAGTTCATCTTGCGTAATCGAAAATTGATTTTATCATAATGAATTTTTCTTAAGAAACTTATCAACCTTAACCTCACATTGATGAAAAACTTCTCAATCTCCCATACCAATCCTTGACGATAAAACAGATTCCACACTTTTTGGGAATTCTCAATTATATTTGAGACTTCATTCCTCAAGCGACCAAATATATCAATCAATTGTCAAAGATCTTAGAAAAAGAGTCCTCCACCATGTGGATCAAAACAAACTCAAGCTATCCAAGAGTTAAAAAAAGATTGCTCAAACTCCTCCAACATTAAAATTTCCAGGAGTAAGGAAAATAATCCTTCAAATTGATGCAAGTGATCATTTCTGGGGGGCTATTTTTATTAAAGAAATCAACAATAAGAAATTTTATGGTGGACATGCTAATGGATAATTCAAAGAAGTAGAAAAACATTATCACACCACCTTCAAGGAGGCTTTGGCTATTAAAAATAGAATTAAAAATTTTGATTTTCCATTTAAAAGGATACCAATTTGAGGTTCAAATAGATAATTCATCTTTTGCAAAGATCCTCGAATTCAAAAACAAGATGTCTCTTGATCCTCAAATTATTAGATTAAAAGATTAGTTCTCCAAGTATGACTTATCTGATAAACATACTAAAGGAAATCAACATCTCATTCCTAATTTTCTCTCAAGGTTTAGTTAATCACTGCTACTTATAGTTTTCCTTTGATATACATGAAACCTCTGCCAACTAAAGCCAGAGTAACTAAAGATTTCCCACCAAGATTATCACCTAGTTCACTTGTCAATATCCTACAATATGCTAAATCTCATTATTATTGTGAAGTCCCACATCGGCTAGTAAGGTGAACGAAGCATGCCATATATATGGGTGTGGATACCTTACTCTTGAGGACGCGTTTTGGGGTGGTGTTGGCCATTCCCGAGAGCAAAGCCGTGAGGCCGTGGGCCAAAGCAGACAATATCCTCATGCGGGTTGCTTGGGCTGTTACATTTGGTATCAGAGCCGGGGCCCGGGCCGGTGTGCCAGCGAGGGCGCTGGGCTCCCCTAGGGGGGGTGGATTGTGAAGTCCCACATCGGCTAGTAAGGTGAACGAAGCATGCCATATATATGGGTGTGGATACCTTACTCTTGAGGACGCGTTTTGGGGTGGTGTTGGCCATTCCCGAGAACAAAGCCGTGAGGCCGTGGGCCAAAGCGGACAATATCCTCATGCGGGTTGCTTGGGCTGTTACATTTGGTATCAGAGCCGGGACCCGGGCAGGTGTGCCAGCGAGGGCGCTGGGCTCCCCGAGGGGGGGTGGATTGTGAAGTCCCACATCGGCTAGTAAGGTGAACGAAGCATGCCATATATATGGGTGTGGATACCTTACTCTTGAGGACGCGTTTTGGGGTGGTGTTGGCCATTCCCGAGAGCAAAGCCGTGAGGCCGTGGGCCAAAGCGGACAATATCCTCATGCGGGTTCCTTGGGCTGTTACAATTATCACTTCATACATGAAGCTATGAAGTACAAGCATACTACAATTGTAATATTTATTCATGAAACTCCTTTAAGAGAAATCTTTGAGTTATTTCATGAACTAAGATGAGATCTCTATGAAGCCACGCTTTGGCTTAGTTGGTATAACACCATTCAATATTTTATTCTGATGGTTGTAAAAACCAAAACAACATATCAGATTCTCACAAATCCTTACAGAGAAGATTATTTCTCCTAGACTTTGTTAGAATGGTTTTCTCTTTCAACTTGGTGGAGAAAAGAGCTAAAGAAATTCTTGGATCTTGAAGAAAGTAAAGGATTTTCATATGAGAAAATCAATAATTTGACTTTAATTATTATAGTCCATCATTCTTACTTTCAAAATCCAACAAAACAATTATGGTTCAGAAATGAAGCCTATTTTTGGAGAAACTTTGAAGATTATCCTTTGGATCAAAGTTATAAACTTCAACTTGTCAGACATCTTTGTGAAATTAAACACTATTAGCCTAAACCACTAGATTCTAATAAGGCAGGTTTGTCTCAAAGACCCAATAATTGTTATCCAACAACAAGATAGTTCTTTCTAGCTCTTAACAAAAGACAAGATTTTTTAATTCCACATAAAAATCTGTTTCAAATGAATAAATCCAAAAAGTTGAAGATGTGTTAGATGATTATAATGTAGAGTTGATGGAAGAAATAATGCATAAGACTAGGTATCCTTATCATCATCTTATGTATGAGAGTTTGACTTAGTCAGAAGCAGAACAATACATTTCTTCATTTTTGACCAAATCAGACTAAAGTGACAAGTATGCCTTCAAAGCATGCAGGAATCTCAAATGTTAAAGATGTCATTATTATGTATACAAGGTTAGGTAGAGAACCTTATCATATCACTGTACAATGGCATAAGGATAAATGAATAAGGTGTCATATAAGTTAGGAAAGTGTCATATAAGTTACGATAAGGCTTTGTTAGTCATAAATAAAGTTAGATAAGTGTCATGTAATATGTTTCGTCAGTAATGGACTTCCTCCTCTGTAAATAGGGGATTGTATGAAGGATCAAGATAGACTTGGTTGAATGAAATAAATGTTTTCTTCAAAAATGAGTTTTTTATGATCTTCTCATTCTCTTTAAAAGCCTACAATATATTGTTTATATTATTAGTCCCTTACATAGACGCTAGTATGCTTTACACTCGTCTCTTACGAGGATCTTGTGTACTAGAAAGCTTTTGATCTATGATCCACTTTAGCAATCCTCTTGTTCTATGATAAATATGCATATAATACTTGTAGTGAGACATGATAATGCCATGAAGGTCTCAAGTTTGTCTTTAAATGGTGTTAAATATGGTATTTGCCATAGGAAAAAATTGTTCTATCATAGTCTAGAAGAAATAATTTTCTTAGTAAGGATTTGTGAGAATGTGATATATTGTTTTGGTCTTTACAACAATTGGAATAAAATATTGAACGGTATTACACCAAATAAACCATAGTGTGACTTTACAAAGATCCCATCCTATTTCATAAAATAACTCAAAGATTCATTCAAAAGGAGTTTAAAGATTAAATATTGCAAGTAGAGTATGCTTGTACTTCATAACTTTATGTATGAAGTAATAACAATGAAATTTAGCATATTGGATATCAATTGGTGAATTAGGTGTTAATCTTGGTGGGAAATCTTTAACTACTTTATCTGTGGTTAGTAGAGGCTTCATATTAATAAAAATAAATATGAATCACTCTTGAAATATATATATATATATATATATATATATATAAAGATTTTTTTGTAAATATTTTTTTTAATTTTTATCTCTACATGTCACATTATTATATATAATGTCATTTAAATGGTCACAAGTTATTGGACGTCAAAATTTAACAATTAACATACATTAAATTAATGATAGAATTAAAATTTTGTATTTTTAAAAATAAAGGATTAAATGTCTCTATTTGAAATAGAAGGATCAAAATTGTATATTAACAAAATTAGAGAGATCAAAAGTACAATTCAACCTTAATAATATTATATGGTTATTAAAATGTCTATTAATAATTAATTGCACTTGTGAAAGAAAATTAACTAGAAGTAAGATATAACTTGTTTCATATTGGGCTTGAGGCTCAAACCATGTAGTTGGTCACCTCAGCCCAAATGTCAAATCAAGCCGAATTGCAATTGGGACCTTGGCCCAAATGTCGAATCAACCGACATTATAAGTGGATTATCTCAACCCAAATACTAATTAATCCAAATTATGTGTATGCTGAAGTCAACACCCAAGCATGGGATTCCTAAAATACACCGAGAGCAATAAAACATACATCGATCCAGAGTAAAATTACCTTATATTTACATGAAAGCAAGGTAATATTACCTCTAAGAGGCCTTGAGCCTAGGAATAGTCTATCTCAAATCTCATTAAATACAATCAATGCTGTAGTGGTGAGCATTTTTTACACATCAAAACCATATAGAATCTTTGCTGATTTAAGCGTCGAAATGTCTTTTTAAGTATCCACCATTTCTCATAGCGTCTAGCCTTGCTAAAAAGCTCACAATCACTAGACCTCAGACCTCAACTCAGAGTACACATCGATCAACATTGCCCAGTAATCAATTCAAATAAACAGTTCCATCATCTCATTCAAGAGAGAGATCTCAGACATTACTGTTACAGCAATTAACTAATAGAAAGTTGCACTCATTTAATTACTGTTAGTTGAAATTGTGGCTAGCCTCCATAGGTCATTTTTGTCCTATAAATAGTTGGCGTAATTCAATCACGTAATAGGTTAATCAATCACGTAATTCATTTCAACAGAAATCAATTTTCTCTCAACCGAGAACTCTCTTCTTCAGTATCTTTAACTCTTTGCCCGCATCATCTCTGATGCCTGAGATCTTCCTTTGGCGATGACTTTTTATTCAGGCTGTATTTGTATGCCAGTAGCAGAATTATTATGTTCATGCTGTGTGAGTTATATGAAGGCGACAGCCCGTATCATTGGCTTCCATCTAATCTTAGTATGTATCCTTTAAAAGGGAAAATTCTCCATTAAATTCTACGCAATATAACTTCCTTTCAAATAAGAAATTTAGGATATATGCACCTTCGTACTGCCTGAAGGGTGTCTATAAGCAACTCGGTCCTATACAGACCGCTGAAACAGAACTGAATAAATAAAAAATATAAATAAAAAAATAAATAATCAATTTGGAACCTGAAAAAATTGAAATATTTTAATAGAGTAGATCAAATTTTAGATCATTTTTCTTTTTGAAAAACTATTTCAGTCTAATTTAAATCAAACTTAGACACATGAATTTATCAAAAAATTCACACTTCTATAATAGCTTTCTGAGAAAGCTCTAAAAAATGATTTTACTTTTTCAAAATAAGCTAAAACGAATATGCAGTGTTAAGCTGATCCGTTATTGCCACTCGTAAATCTTGAAAATGCTTACACATGCAAGATACTCATCCAATTCGTTCGAAGACACGTTATAAAATGCTTGATTCAAATAATTAAAACTACAAAAAAAAAGATACACCTTATTGAATAAATAAAATTAAATAGAGAAGAAGAATGATTATAACTTACATGAAATGAAAAGAAAGAAAAATATATACATACATAAATCTCTACATAGAAGCTAAAAGGTCTCTCATCTCTGTTACAGATGGGATTGTCTCCGTAGGGTAAATCCTAGCCACAAGTTGGGCAAAACTTTCGTACTTATCAAGAAACTCCTTCTGCAAAAGTAAAAAAAAAAAACAAAAAAACGATTAATTTGCATGAATTTTCTACTTGTTTTACAATCTTTCCATTCACAAACCCCCCATTCTAGTAGATAGTATGCGAATGTGAGGTCAGGTAGCGTTACCTTAGCGGTTTGCAAATGCAAGATTGTCCAAGTATTATTTTAATTTTTGATCAACCAATTTTACCTTTTAAACTAAGACCACTTAGCATTGAAATTTATGCTCCCTTTATTTTTGTTGAAAATAACCCATATCGACTATTGATAAAATCATAATAGTGTATATAAAACTATAAGTAGAGAACAATTCTCACCTTCCAAACCAATTTTGTAAGATAAAGTTAAATTCAAACCACTTTCAAAGATGATATCATACTATCATAGATCCACTAAAAAGAGATCACCCACCATTTATACCATAGTAGTCAATCCCGGATAGCGGCGCGGAGCGGTCGACCCTAAAACTGGGATAGCGGGATGACGCGGAGCGGGATAACCGCTATTTTAATATTAATTTATATATATTAAATAATTAATAATATATATATAAAAGCTAAAAAAACAAAAAAAATAACTCTAAATTCATACATTAAACCTTTTTAATAATTAAAAGTTCATAGTACTCAAACAATACATAATATAAAATGTCTCCAAAACAAAGTAGAAAAGAAATTTTAAAAAATTGTTGAATTATATTTAATCAGAAAACAAATCTGATAAATTAAATTTAATCAAAAATTAAAAATACAATTTTCTGAAATTAAAAATAAAATTTTCTGAATTAAATTTAATCAGAAATTAAAAATAAAATCAGCTGAATTAAATTTAATCAGAAATTAAAAATAAAATTTACTGAATTAAATTTAATTAGAAATTAAAAATAAAATTTGCTGAATTAAATTTAATCAGAAACTAAAAATAAAATTTGTTGAATTAAATTTAATCAGAATTTAAAAATAAAATTTGTTGAATTAAATTTAATCAGAAATTAAAAAAAAAAAAATAATTTAATAAAAAATTAAAAAACAAATTATGTTGCAATGTACATAAAGGAGAGAATACTCGAAGGAGAAGACGAACTAAGCGAGGCGCGTCGGAGCTTGCGGCCACGTCGGAGCTGGAGGCGCGTCGGACCGGGAGGCGCGTCGGAGACGGAGGTGCGTCGGAGCCGGAGTTCGTCGGAGCTGCACGCACGATCGCCAGAGAAGAAGAAACAATCTGAGAGGGAGAGACGAGAGAGGGCTGCGACAATTGAAATCGCGAGAGGGAAAGGGAGACTTAGGGCAAAAAAAGCCCCATTGAAAAGACTGACTTACCCTTAATGAAGGGTAAGTCGAAATCGCGCCCGCGATTCCGCGATTTGTGCCGCTCCGCTCCGCCTCCGACGCGGCCGCTCTGGCCGCTACACAAATCCGCCACGCGACAGCAGCGAGATTGCGGGGTGAGGCCGCTCCGCTCCGGAGCGCCGCGATAGCGGCCGCTCCGGCCGCTATTGACTACTATGATTTATACATGCACTAAGCCTAATAATGTTGGACATAAAGAGGTGTATTAGAAAAAACTCAAGTCTCACCTATCTTAGATCATTAATAAGGGCTACCCATCATTTACTTACGCACTAAATCCAATAATGTTGAGCGAAAGGTGTAATGGAAAAAATCTAAGAACCAAATCCAAAAGTGTTGAACATAAGGTATAATGGAAAAAACCTAAGACCAAATCCAATAATGTTGGACATGAGATGTAATGGAAAAAAATCTAAATTTCACATCAATTAAAGATAAGGCAAACAAAGAATTTATAGTGGGAGAAACTCACACCTAACTAGCCAGTTTTTTAAGGTTGAACTAAGTTCCAATCCACGTTTTTAACATGATATCATATCCTAATAATTATTGATTGTTGTAGGACCTATCATGCCATCTGATTATTGGATCACCTGCAATTGTCCAGTCCTCAATGTGAGGGAATGTGTTGGAGGTCTCACATTGACTATAAATAAGGCCATAGTTGAAAACAACCCTCACCTTACAAGTAGCTTTTGTAGGATTGCATTAGACTTAAACCCATTTTCTAAAAATTTTCCCCCATTCAAATAGATCTCTTCCAAGTTTCAATGACTTTAATTTTGATATTCAATAGTGCAAACTTTTTTACACTTACACAAGCATCCACTGTGCTGTCATTTTCTAAAGAGTTTGACCTCTCAAGCAGTTATTTTGTACGCGTGTTATGACAATACATGATTGTATGAGAGTGGAAAAAACGTTCTCTCACAACATATCAAAATAAGATCCAATTTAATTGTCATTCACATGTATCGTAAAGTTAGCAAGATTGCACTTGCTATCGGCCAAACTGGTGAAACACTTGTTAGACACTTCCTATGAAGTACCAACACCAACACGGACATCTAACATGACACGGACACCAGGGCATGGCTAATATCCAAAACGTAGGTCACAGGGACACGTATTGTATATAGCAAGAGTCAACTAATTCTCTTACATGTGAATGACAATTAAAAGCAAGAGTCAACTAATTCTCTTTGTGATCAAGTTGTGTTAGAAAGGTGTTAAACTTGTGACAGAGAGATGCCCAAACCAAAAAAATATATTTTTAATTGTAACATAATGTAAATGTGTTGGACGCGTGTCATGACTTCGACATTTCTAACAAGTGTCGTGTTAGAGTGTCAAACACGTCAAAACAACATTATGTAGATGTGTATATGCTTCATAGGACACTTCACTGACTTTAGTGTTGACCTTGAAAATATTTAGTGCAAAACCCTTGATTCTTTCTTTCTAACTGAATTAAGGTAAATAGGAGGTAGCTTTGATGCCCGATAGGGATTAAGTACAATTTACCTTGCATTTGTCCCATAAGGAGGGTAACAGTTCCTCTGAAGTCAAATTCTTCTGCAGTTTCTTATACATCGCAGCAATGGACTTGTCAACCTAAGTAGAAGGAGCAAAGACACAAGTTCAAAGGCAGGCTAAAACCAGTGAGAAGGATCTTTAAAGAAGGTCAGAATCACCATACCCCAGATAAACTAGATTTTAACATCTTCCGGAGATCCATTTTTGACAGCCCAAGCTGAAAAGGAATCTGAAATTTATGCAAAACAGAGATTTTAACTATTTAATTCAGTCTTACGCATCCAGGAAAATATGGGCAAAAAAAGACAATTTAAGAGATGCATCAACAAACACATTTCTTTAAGCCCATATAATGGCAGGCACTCAATTTGATGCTACTTTATGAAAATAATAACAAGAGCTTAAGGAAAGTTATAAATGGCTATACGATTATATAAGGTCAACCAGACAATAAAGACTACAAAAACAATAATTCTAGCATTTTGGGAGAAAAAACGATTGCATAAAATCTGGCAAAAGTAACATTAACAAATAAAGCTTTAACAGAAAAATGCAAAGATGACAAAGATACACTACATTGTTGCTGCGATTATTGCATCCCTGTGACTAAGGGATCATTCCATATATATTTTTAGATATATCAATCAGGATTGGTATTGATTTCAATGATCTATGTATTTGTTTCCTTTTATTCTTGATTAGTAGACAAATAGACAGCCGTTAAGGAGTTTCATTATAAGAAATTCATAAAACTCTACCTTCTCTATTCTTAAATTGGAATTAGAGCTGTTCGATCTTAGATCTCCATATTCATTCAGTCTAGCCGCCGGCAAGGTTGTATCTCAGTTATCACTTATCAACACCCTACAATATCCAAGAGCTCATGCTAGCCACATCATGGAGCCCTGTCACCAGAAAGTCAGCTATGCACCTCCATCCAGGTCTCCAACCACCTTGCCAATGGCCTCATTCAGTTCATCAGAACCTCCTAGTTCTCTTCTAGTGGTCAAAGCTCCAATTGCATCATACTTCCTAATCAGCAGTCATCCTTAGATGCTGGTTCTCAGTCCTCTTTCACCACGAGTATAGCCTCTATTAACAATGATATGGCTCCAACCACATTAGACAGATTCATCTGAACCAGTCTGAGTCACTTTTTTAAGAGGCACCATATTACACCTCTTTAGTTAAAACTAGAGTTGTCTAAGATGTTTTACATATTCCTTATTTTGGTCCATCTTTGCTCCTTCATGGGGAGCACCACCAGTTCCAATAGCCTCATTTGAGGTAACTCACCCAAATCCACATTACTGACCCCTTGTCAACGATTAGCATTAATCCTGAGCTATCATTCCTGAGCTTGAGTTGAGGTAGAGAAGAATTCTAATGAATTGTGTCCTACTTGATCAACTGACCTATTCTTTTATGGATGAGATGTGTTTCACTAATAGATTTTAGGAACTGGAGCAGAAGACAAGGATAATACAAATGATACATGTATAAGAAAACTGTATAACAACTTGTACAACATCACTATTTGTGTCTATTTCTCTCCATCATTAATAAATGTAACAACCAAAGTGATGGAAAGAAATAGACACAGTGATGTTGTACAAGTTGTTATACAATTTTGTTATACATGTATCACTTGTACTATCCTTGTCTTCTGCCCCAATTCCTAAAATCTACTAGTGAAACACATCTCAACTAGGATGGACAAATGCCATGATTGATGAAATGCTCTCCCTAGAACACAGTGACAGGTGACCAAGTTTCTATATCAAAGGGTAAAAGGATTCACAGACCTATGGTTTGGCGCTAATAACAGCTTGGCTTAAGTACATTTTTGGTCCCTTAAGTATTGCAGTTATGCATTTTAGTCCCTCAATATTTTAGTTTAGCAATGTTGGACCCTCAAATTTTAATTGAGCAATTTTAGTCTCTCAAGTATTGCAATTGTTTGATTTTAGCCACTCAAATATTACAATTTTACAATTTTTGACCTATTTAAGTTACATATATTATTAAATTTAGTAATAATAAATATATATCATCTAATACATTAATGAAAATTATAGTATATGTAACTTAAATAAGTTAAAAATTATATAATTGCAATACTTAAGGGACTAAAATCATACAATTATGATACTTGAAGGACTAAAATTGCTCAATTAAAATATGAGGGACCAAAATCACACAATTGCAATACTAAGACTAAAATTGCTCAATTAAAACCTTAGAGACCAAAATCCAACAATTGCAATACTTGAGGGATAACACAATTAAGCCTAACACCTTTTGTCTAGAAGCTAAAATAGCTTCTGTCTATTTCTCTCTAGGCATTCAATAGGTCTTTGGCCCTTATATCAATTGTTTTTAAAAATGGCTTCCGTCATGATGACCTCAATAAAGAATGTACACTAAGCAACCACATGATTTTGCTGGTAAGGGTGATCCAGGTTTACTTTTTTCTGGTTAGGGGAAGCAACCACATTAATGTATATCTATTGACAGAATTTCCCTCATCAGAGGAACTCTTCGGGCAGGATGGATTTATGATTCAAAATACACACCAGAAGATAACTAGCTATTTTATGATGAAGTAGTCAGCTTTTGTTTGCTATTCAAAAAGGAAGAACCACCAAAAATTAGTGAGAATATACTTTAAGTTTCCCATAATTTACAACCAATGATGCTATGAAAATATTTTATTATATCATGTCTTAAAATATCATATCATAGATTATTCTCAAGGTTTAGTTTCCTATCTCCTCATTATCTCTAAGGATTGATTATCGTATTTCCTTATCATGATTTGGTAGGATTATGATTAATATAAATAAAGATTGGTGCTCTAGGTTTTATGAACATATCAATTCAGTGTTTCATTTTCTTTTCCCTATCTTCCTCTCTATCTAAAACATAAAAAGTTTCAACACAGTTGATATAATGTTAACACCATCCACATGCACAGAGAAACTAAGAAACATTGCAACCAATTTGTTTGATAAAATGAATTTGAGACTTGACGAGATGCTGTATAGCAGGAACCTATGAAGGAATAAGAATACAGCATTATACACACATACCTCCTCAGGTGCAACAGTGAACATCAAGTCCTCAATCCTTCGAGCAAACTGGAATAGGCGTTCAAATTGCTATCCAAGGCAAAAAAAAAAAAAAGGGATAATCAAGGTTATCAATAACGGATAACGGTCTATGGCGGTAAGCCAAAAATCCATCATGAACATATGGCGGATGGCTTGGTGGCTTATGGCAGAAAAAAATAATATATATATATATATATATATATATTAAAAACAACCAAAAATAAAAAAATAAACTTTTAGGATGCACGACTTTAGTGTTAGGTGCTTACTGCTTACCATTGTGCTATAAGTGACACAAAATTGGGAACAACATTATAGGTTTAATATAGAAAACAACATAACAGAACATGATAATGAAATTCTAAAATATAGATAACTAAATTCCAAAATTTTGAAAAACTGGGAACAAAAACATTGAACAGATGAAAAACAAGAACAATCACACAAAATAAGAGAGAGAGAGAAAGAGATGATGATCATCTGAAGAAATGAAAAATAGATGGAAAAAACAAAGAAAAACAAAGAAATGGAAGGAAGAAGAAAAAACAAATAGAAAACAAAAAGAATTATTATAGGTCACCGGATTTGTTGGCCGAAAAACTTTTTGGAGCTCAGGCCACTATGGTTCAAGTCGTTGGCGAGGCTGGTGATCTAAGAAGGCTCACCATAGTTGTTTGTTCGCAATTTAGGAGCTTCACGAGAAAAGATGAGAAAAAAAAAGAAGAAAAAAAAGAGGAGGAGGAGGAGGAATTCCGCCATGAGCACCATGAAGCCATGGCCATGGCGGATATGGCGGGTTCCATGGCGGATATAGCGGATGCCACTATATAATGGGAAATAACGGATAGCGAATGGCGGAGGGGTTCAAAAACGCCACGTTATACCTTTATGGCAGCGCCAAAACGGTTATTTGATAACATTGGGGATAATCAGTGGGGTCCTCACGATATCAATTCATGTGCATTGACAAAGAAAATGGAAATAGAAAAGTACTTACATAGTAGATAATCATGCTAATATGGCGTGTACAAGCTTGTTCATAGGCTTCACTGGCCTGATGATAAAACTTTGCCAGAGTGGGCACAATGTTGGCGAGGTCATACAAACTGAGTAAAATGAACAAAATAATTGAAAAATGGAAAATGTCTTTCTTTGCAAAACCAACTTAATAATCGAAGAATTGAAAGAGCCTTTTAGCAGAGGAATTACCTATTCTGAAAGGCAGCATAGTTCTCAAAAAGAAAAATGTCTGCATACTTTGGATCTGTTTGTGCAATTTTTTCTAAAGTTGCAAACATTATGCTAACCTGTCAAGCAACATTATGTTAACAGTTATGTAGTAAATTGAAAAAGACGATTAAGAACCTATTTCCTCCTATGTCCTACAGAGAAAAAAGGATAATCAGTAAACCAATGAAATTGCTCATAGTAACAACTAACAACTATCAACACAGTGCATAAGATTTATAACTATTATTCAGCAAGGATTCAACATCATTTAATATAAATATGCATGCAAAATATTAAATATGCTTAAAACTTTTGACTGAAAGATGAACAACATTTACCAATCAAATGAATAATTCAATTTGCAGAAAACTTGGCAAGAACTCAACTCTTTTAGAAGATCTCCATCCAACAAGATGGCTGGAGACATGCTACACCATATCTTCAATAAAAAGATTATTGTTTGTATGTATGATTCCACAGAATTTAATCTTTGTATATTCTTTGTACTTATTTCTAACTTTTGATACTCATCTTACTGTAACTAGAAATTGGAAATATGCTCTATTTGACCCAAGCACCTGACAATTAAAATCAATTATTTTAATCTCATTATTTTTGGAAAGCACATGCTTGAGTTTTAAGAAAAATCATGAGACACCATAAAACTAGATAGAGCTCTTAAAGGAACACTTACAAATTTTGTGTATGCTTGATCAACCAAATCCCTAGACTGACCCTGGATGTACTGCTCCATGCGAGTTGCAAGGGTTGCAAATCTATGCAAAATAATTAATAAAGTATTTTACATCAATCGCAAAGATGGACTTGAAAGTTGAAATAAATGCATGCTAGAAAGAAAAAATTGCAGCTGTAACTTCTAATTGCTTCCTAAACAAAAAACATTACTTCATATATCAAAATCTATTGAAATGATTTTTAAGTAAACCAAACTGAGTAAGCATTGATCTTACACCGACTTTCATAAAATTTAAACAACTATAAACATGTTATCAAAAGATAGATATTTTCATTTGCTTCAAAATCATATTACATACATTCATTTCAATTAAAGTTCAGGGGTAGAAAACAATCTTGGATTACTAGGGAAACAATCTTTAATTTAAACTATGTGAATTAGATGGTACATACACAATGGCTATGAAGTTCCCTGGCAATCCAAGATTGTGTTCTACTCTGTCAATTTGTATTAACACTAAAGAATAAAATGACTCACAAGTGGAAACATTTATTAGTTGATCACATACTTGGAGTTGCTTAAATATTATGAAATTTGATGTTAAAAAAGCATGATGATTAGGTATAATTCACTCATTAGCAAGGTTATCAAAAAACCGTTATAACGCCGCTATAACGGTATGGCGGGGCGGTTTTGGGCCTCGCCGCCATTCGCCATCCGCAAAATGGCGTTTTGTGGCGCCGTCCGCCATTTTCGCCGTGGCGCCCGCCATTTCCGTTTTGACCCATAACGCTATAAAGGTGATAGCGGACATAACGGGTCTGGGCCAGTTTTGGGCTTCAAACTAGGCCCAACAAGTATGCCCTAATGGTTTTAGGGTTGAAGAATGAGAAGCCACGACAGCCACCCACCCAAACACAACTCATCTACCTTCAACCAGTCTCCGATGATGTTCCTCCGCCGTCGCCCACCACTCGCCGGTCATCTCTCTGACCGGCGACCTGAACCGTGGTGATCCACGACTCCGACGACCTGAACCAACGCGGGCATGAATAGGATCTATGAAATTCCGCTTGTTACATCACTAGTATGCGGCCTAAGAGGCACACCTGAAATAAGTCATTTCATGACTTAGCTTGTTACATCACTAGTGACCTTAAGGTACACCTTGTTAGCTTGTTACATCACTGATGACCCTAAGGTACACCTTGTTAGCTTGTTACATCACTGGTGACCCTAAGGTACACCTTGTTAGCTTGTTACATCATTGGTATGCGGCCTAAGCGACACACCTAGAATTGATCATATATGCACATGATGCATGTCACACATTTACTATTTCATTAACTCAACATTTCACTTGTCATGGAATTTCATGTCTCATATCATCACATTTCACATTCTCATTCACATCATGTCTCATGTCACTTGTTCATATTTTACATAGTCATATTCATAATTGTTCCTTCCGTACAAGTACCCACAGAGCACTCTAATTCATTTCAAAACTTATCTAATTTTGAAATCAAATACATATTTACACTTTACATCACACAAGGAACACAACAGAACAATCAGAAGGAAAAACAGAAAACATTCATATTTGGTCTATTTCTCATAGGGTTCTCTCAAAAACCCATAGAGCACTCTAATTCATATCAAAACTTGTTTACTTTTAAAATTAATCACATATTCATACATCACATTCAACAAGAAACACAATAGAATAATCAGAAAGCAAAACAAAAAATATTCATATTTTGCCCGTTCCTATAAACATGCATCAAGCAAGGGATTGTGAGTCAATCTAGCTACCCAACAATTATTCCTATACCTCCGAGCGAGGTTTCTCACTCCCCCCTTACCTGGATAAGCAGAAGGCAAAGCTAGAGCGAAATATGGTTGATCTCTTTCTCTTGGTTCTCCTTGGTCTCCAGAGAGTGTGTCCAGAAATAGTATCAAAGTGCTCTATTTATAGATTTCAAGAGTGGCCAGAACGACCCGTTTCAGATCCGAATCCCGTTTTGGATCCTTTCATCAGGTGAAAAATTCACATCTGGAACGGCTCGTTCTCAAACCAGAACAGCCCGTTCCGGAGATGAGTTTTAACTCACACGTCCATATTTGGAACGGCTCGTTCTCAACTTTGGAACGACCCGTTCCCAACTAGGGTTATAGGCTATTTTGGTGGTTTGGAACGACTCGTTCTAGATTGGGAACGTCCCGTTCTGGGCTACCAAAAATAGGTCTTTTTTAGTAGTTTAGAACGGTCCATTCCAGTTTGGGAACGACTTGTTCTAGGA